TCTGCTCCCCACTCTGTCTCTGGTGAAGCCTCTTACTGTCCTTGCACCTCTGGCTTGTACCCCAGTTCTGTATGCATAAATAAAAATCTTGAAAAAAAATAGTATTGTGAGGCAGGAAACATTCCCTCCTACCTGTTTGCTGTATGGTAGTTATTGCCTGAGCATTGCACTGTAACTGCAACATGTGTTTCAGCATGGCCACTCCCCAAACAGTCAGCTCTGGACCAAAGGCATGAGATCCTGCTGCTTTGGGTGGAGGGGATTTCAGGTCCAGTGTGAGAGTCTGTAAACTGCGTGCTTCCAGCTGCCGGCACAGTACAGTCACACTCAGAGCACAGAGGAATTTATGTTCTGGGTTATGGTTTTCAGTGTGAGGCAAAAGACTGGAGACAGCATTATAATTATTTTCATACTTCCCATTAATATTGCATCCAGGAATCGGGGTTTCAACTGTTCTGTCACTTTTCTCGCTTTCCCTTCCCAGGTCATCATAATTGAGCATTTTCACCTGATTCTTATTTTGAGGCAGACAGATGTTCTTGTCACTAATCTCACCATACAGCTTTCTTATGACTTTGCCAACATCTTCAAATCTAGCTAAAAGAGTTGCCCTCAGAGCAATGTGGCAAAAGATACCCAGTGTAAGCAGCAGCCCCCCTAGAGAACACTCTATACTATGGTAGAGATTCCAGGCTTGCTGCATACACTCTTGGCTGCAATACTTGGCATAGCTGCATCCATCACAGGGAACCATGGCCAAAGTGTGCTTTAAACATCGGTGACAATAGAGGTCCCCAATGGTGACTCTGGTATCCCACTTGCTGTCTAGGCCATGATGTAGTGGTGGCATTTCTCCTGGGTTAAGGACACTCACAAAAGCATCCTCCTTCACCAGGAGCTCTCCTGGGAGAATATCTTTTGTGGCAATCAGATAGCGGCCTTTTAAAGGGTCTATGCGTAAGCTAACAGATGATGAGGCATTGGAAATTTGTCCATTCTCTTCCCTGAGGTTCATATCCTCAAAGGTTTTGGTTAGAGTTGCTGAGACGGTTTCTGTGAGGTTCTCCTTTTCTTGAACCTTCATTTTCAGATGACAGAGATTTCTCTGCAGATTCTGGATAGCCTCTAGGGTTGGCTTGGCAGCAAAGTTACTTTCAAGATCACTGATGGTTTGGCTGGCTTCCTGTAGTCTCCCCAGAGTCACCAGACACTCTGCCTTACGCAACATCATCTTGGGTTGCAATCTTTCTGGATACCCATGCAGCTGGGCTCTGACGATGTCTTTAAGACATGTCTGAAAACAGAAAGGAAATCCCCAAATGACCCATGGTCCTTACTCTTTAATGCCTATGGAAAAAATTTTAGTAAAAATCTGTAAGAAAGATTATTAAAAATGAAGCAACTCTAACCACGTGTGTGATCTTTTAATCATATGCTTATCAATATTTGTTGAGGATATTAAATTGCCTTATTAAATGTTCCTGTTGTTAAAGGAAAAAAGACACACAGATTATAAAATGGTGATTAAGAAAAAAAAAAATGGTGATTAAGACAGAATTAGTAGCCAAACAGACTTGCATTCAATATGGACTGACTCTTTCTGCCTTTATGACCTTGTGCAAGCAACTTATTTTTTCAGTGTCTTAGTCTTCTCAGCTGAAAAACAGGTGTAATAATACCTTCGATTTGTTTTAAGGATGAAATAAGATAATACATCGAAATTGATAAAAAAGAATACCTGGACTACAGTGTGTGTTCAATATATAGTCACCACTGTTATAAGAGGGAAAACAATATATATGGGACATAGAAATGGTTACATTTGTTACAAATTCTTTCAATTTTCCTTAATAGTAAAGAACTTGCTTTCTTAGGGTCTTGAGTTAGATTCTTGAGTTAGATTCTTGCTCCTTTCTTTTTAGTTCAAAGGGCAAACAGTGATTATTCAAACAGTTTTTTAAAAAGATTTATGTTTGTTTGGATGGAGCTGGAAAAGATCATGCTTAGTGAGATAAGCCAGAAAGAGAAAGAAAAATACCGGATGGTTTCACTCATAGCAGGAGTATAATGGAC